AGGAGGAGGAGGAAGGATTTCGCTATTTCTGCATTCCACACATACCAGAAAAATCGTCAGGTATATAAAACGAATGAAATAAGACATGCTTATCCAAAATGTAATGCTTTGATTGTTTAACTCTTCATTTTGGTTACGTGTTCAATTGAGGCTCCGTCACTGTACTCCTGCTTTGCGGCATGGCCTCCGGGCCTTGCCCACAGCCCCTCAGTCCTTCTGTACACCGACAAAGATTTCCTCCTTTTGCCTCCAGGATGGACTTGGGACGCTGCGTAGATCCTTTCAAATAAAAGTAACGAGCTAATTAAAGTGCCTAGGTGAAACACCCCTCATTCAAAAAATATAAGGGAATTTTGTATTAACCGACTTACATTTAGTCCAACCATTTGTAGATCATGATGTTTTCGGCTTAAATTGTTGAAAAACAAATGATTATCCAACTTTTAGTGTTGAGCTAGCCATGTAATTTCACAGGTGGCTGAAAATGGAAAAAGAATTTCAAGGTATTACCCGCAGTATGTCAAGTGTTTACTTAGCTCTCGGTTTTGGCAAAGGGCCCACTTAGGCGCTTCGCCATTTTACCCTTGCTGGGTAGGCTGGTCGTCGGGCTATGTCAGCAACCTCAAGCGCTACTGTATGCCGAATATGTACATTATGCACTCTTTCGTCTGCAAGGAAGGGTTGGGGTGCTACATTCCTCAATTCAGTAATTGCATCTATTTTGTGTTGAAATTACTCCAGTTTAATGTAGACAGTTTTGACGTACGCTTACTCAGTAGCCATAGCCTCTGCCGCCTGGGCCGTTACTAGGGCCTGAATCCATTCTTTAGCAAAAGCCAGATACCTTTGTGCATGCTGTAAGTTACGACAAACTTACTTCTGCTGGAGCATTGGATTTTGTGATAATCTGACCTAGTGTAAACACTTTTGGGAATAGGTGTTTATAACAGACCAGAAGTTATAGCTTTTTTACAGCAGAAGAGATTAACTATGTGGCTTTGCTAAAACAAAGTAAAAGAGCGAAGTATAGTGGACACAATTTTGACGGATGCACGAAACTTGAATAACAAAACTAAAAAATTCAAAAACAATAACAACTCAAAATTAGAGCTTTCGCTGCTTACCAAAAATAGGGATAAACCATAGAAATCACCTTTTTTGGTTAGGATTTACGTTCTCGTATCCTTCAAAAGGAGGCATGCTTAAGGTCATTATAGTCGCAATGATGGTTTAACACTATTGTGGAGTTTGTCTGCAATTGTGTTTGTGATTTGGTGCCATTTTGTAGCCAAAATTTGGAAGGTAGTTCATCTGTATTCTATGTTCATTTCCCCACTTCTCGCCATGGCTACTTAGTAGGATGACCCTGTTAGCCTTGATCCTTTAAGTATATTGCCTACTCACAGCATGTGTTTATTCGTCTACGTATTCTGGTAATTTGTACGTGAATTGCTTAAACAGCTAATATGGGCTTACCTGGTGTTTGGACAATTTTATTTCTTAAACGCGAATTTACTCGTTGTCGTACTTGTCAAACAGAATGCGCCCAATTTGTTGGTGTTTTGGTAGCGCGACTGTGATAATCCGCATTAATATTGTTTCGTCCAAGTATCAATGAAAAACTTACTGTGACTTCAACTTTTTATTAGTTCTTTTAGGCCATTTACAAGCTACATTTGTTTTTTATTGAGTCCAAACGTCGTCAAAAAGTTTTATTTAACTATTACAAGATTTACTGTCTTATTTGACGTTCTTTCATGGTTTTATACTTCTCTATGCCTCTAGCAGCTATCAACTCACTAAAAATGGGAGCTGCTTACTCATCCGGTCCGGTTGGCGGCGGTAGTCAGCCTCCCGGAGGTAGCGGTGGTGGTAGCGGAGGTCGTTTTTCCGATGGAAGAAGCAGTAATAGCAGCACCAGTTCTCACCCTCTCCTCGATCAGAGCTCATTCTCTTGGCTTAATTTGGCCAGAAGTGGTCAGTTGCCCCCCTCCGGTGGTGTCAGTGTCCCTTCAATGCGTGTTCAATCTCAGTTACCGCAGCAGCCACAGCAGCAGCCGCAACAGCAAGGCACTCAGTCTGGCATAGAGGAACTTATCGCCACCTTTTCTCGTGCAAATCCCAATCTTATCCATTCATGTGAGTGTAAAATGACTATATACGGTATCCCATATTCAATCGGAGCTTCTAGATTTCAGTCCAAGGATGAGCGATACAATTTCCAAAAAGGCGAAATTTTTAGCTGCTCATAGTAGTTTGTCCAACTACTTGCTGCTTTATTTTGGATCTAGTTCATGGCATTATACTTATTTACCACTCCTTAAAAACAATGCTAATGATATGTTCTTGGGTTTAACCATCTAGTAAAAAATTCCATTTGAATTAACTCTAGTGTTTGGTTGCTGGCATTGAGCTCTCTATCACAACATTTTAGAGTTCAGGCTAGAAAATAACTAACTTAATCTTGCAAGATTTGCTAGATGGAATTTAACTTGATGAATCTCACCTCACGAGGTCGCTTGCACCCACCACACTTGGTCCCTATTACGGTAACCGTCTGACGTGTGATTCTTTGACTATTGAGGTCAGTTTTTTGTCACAATATAGGGGTGAATTAATGATCTCCTGGCTAAGGATATGATTATGAAAGTGCCTGCATTCTGGCTTTAAATAAATCAGCCTCTACTTCCCAGTTTTGGAAAATCTACGTGCGCAACAACAGCAGCAGCAACAACAGCAATCGCACTATCAACAAGCAACGTCCCAACAACAGATGTTAAGTGCTCAGGTGCCTCAGCCATCTGTATCTCGTTCCCGCTCTCCTACTCATCATCGACAGTCTCCGCAGACCGGTATTCCTCGTCCCTCTAGTGGCTCCTTGGGCGGTCTTGGGGGCCAATCCGCTTCAGGTTATTGGTTATTCGTTGTTTTCTGTGGCAAAATGAAACTAAAATGGCCTCTGTCAAATCATAGTACCATTAATCGTGCGAATTTTGTCAAAATAGCGCCTGGTTCTTTTGTTTAAGGCAATATAGGGTTGCGTTACTCGGTAAAACTCGATGATTATCCATTTAAGTGTTGAGTGGTACTAATGTTAAATGTGAATATGGATGAATATTGCTAGGTCGGCCGGGCTCAGCAGCTTCAGCTCCATTCAACCAACCCAGGGTAGGTGGCGGCAGTGGCGGCAGTGGCGGCGGTAGTATCGAGTACGGTGGCGGTGGAAGTCAACCTCAGCAGTCTTTACCAGAACAGTTGGTGTCGGCGGCAACAGCTGTAGCTGCCTACCCTCACCGCCCCTCCTCTTCGGCTTCAGCCTCCCTGCGATCCTCTACCACAGGCTCTGGCACTGGCTACTCCGTTTTGCCAGCCAATTCTGCTCAATTTCATCCAGCCTACGCTGCAGTTGCTGCGGCCACGCATCTAGGTCATGGTGATAATCTCCAGGATTTGGTAAGAATCTCCTGCTTTCCACCGGCAAAGATTTTGTGCATTTCTTAGCTCCGCTAATCTCTTTTGCTTCTATAGACACGTGGCAGTGGACAGTCGATAGGCAGTGGAGGCAGGGTGCCGCCCTCAAAACGGCCTCGTCTTGTCTCCTCATCGGGGTCCTCTGTGCCCCCTACATCAGCACCACCCTCGTCTTCACCTTACCTCTCCCAGTCCTCTTCTCTCTCGCGCCAACAGCAACAGCAGCATGAGATGCTGAGTAGACAGTTGCTGCAGACCGCTGCAAACAGTAAGACAGCCATTCTGGCTTTGTTTACTAATGTGGCTCAGCAACAGCAGCAACAGCAGGTCGCGGCTTCCGGGGGCAGGTCCTCGGTCTCTTCGAGCTACTACCAACCCTCGGAGTCTTATGCGCAAAGAAATGTTGGTCAACGACAGCCTGGGGTAAGAGTTGGTTTAAACGATTACTTCAGCCTTGGAGTTCTAGCCTGAGTTTTTGAGTTGATGGTGTTAGTGTCCCATCGATTCTTCTAAGAGCATTCTGTATCGTAATGATACCAGGTTCCCAAATGTTCATTTCATTTATTTAAAAACCGAATGTATTTATCAATTTCCGTCTCCTTCGATATTCTGAAATGTAGAAATTACGGAATGTTAAAGTCCTTCTGCATTATCACTTATGGGAAAGAATCGCTTTAAAACTCTAGATAGCTAATTTCACGCTCAAGGTGTCCGAACTTACTTCTGTACTGATAACTAGCAATGCCCGTTTTGTATAGGAATACGTCTACACGAATTTGTATAATCAAGTGATAAGTTATACTTTGTACCTTCTAATGAATTTCTGATATTTTAGTTCGAATAGACTGTTTGCGAAAGAGTTTATTTCCACTCAAATTCCGTAGGTTTTGCTTGATATTTTTACGATAAACACAGACTAGGATTATCTTGCCGTTCGATTGTCTCTTGGTATCAGATGTGCTAAAATACGGCTTTGAAATCTGTTGTTGCTTGCATTCATTCATTGTCATAAATTACAATCGCCAATAGCGTCGTCTGCGTAAACATACGTAAAAATGAGGCTGCGATCTCCCAAAGGTTCAACAGCAGCATTTTGAGAGATGGCGGCAATATGGATGTAATGGGAACAGCTAATATCCATTATTAACGTTGCTACCAGGTCCAAGAGATAAACCAATCACTATGGCCCTTTTTTATATTGTAGGCAATGACACCACTTGTTGTTTATTTCATTCGTTCCAGTCCACTTGGCCTCCTTTTAATCTGGCATATATATGCGGTGTAAGTTCAGCCAAGGCAATCGGAGCATCATATATGCGTGGCCCTGCTAGAAATCTCGTTAAGGTCTAGCTTTATTTGAGGCCTCGTGGGGTATGACTGCTAGATTAAGTGCATGATTATGTGCCTTGCCCTTCCAGTCTCAGCTTCTAGTCTCCTCACCGAACACCTTATCACAATCATCCTCATTATCTTCGTCATCGTCAGCAGCGGTAGCAGCAGCCGCGGCCGCAGCCTACAGCAATCTGGCGGCAGCAGCGGCGGTGGCAGTAGCGGCTCAACAACAAGTCGCCTCCTCTGCCGCTGCAGCTGCTGCTGCTAACAACACCGGTGTCTATCGGCAACGAGCGGCTGCCTTGGCCGCGGCTGGTAGATCGGGTTACCTTCACACCACCTCCAACTCCACCTCTTCCTCCCGCGGAAGCTACCGAGGACAACCGCAGCAGTCGCAGCAAACCGCTATCCCAGCCGACGGTGGTAGTGGAGGGGGTATGGGTTACCATGCTCACAGCACTGCACACACCATGCCGGGTGGTAGCGGGATGCTTCGTCAACAGACTAAGGAACCTGCCTACCATCCGCAGGTACGGTTCCTATTTCAGCCCGTCCCAGCTAGCTCATCTGGTGGGCTAATCCAACCACATCTAATTCAACCTTGTGGGCTTATTTTATATCCAACTTATTACCCTACAGGCTTAGTCGTAATTGAGCTAAAAGATCCGTCTTTTGAGGAGTTATGTTGGGATTATTTTTGGAGGGAATGCTAGATTTTTTTGCCCCGACGTCTCATCAATTCGATTGAGAAAGAAACTGATCAATTTTTTAATATCAATCTGGTTAGAGGGGCGAAATTCAGTGGTCTACAACAGTCAGAAGTGTCCTTCTTACCTAGTATGTTTGGCAACACTATCTAGCAACAGAACACTGAAATTGGAGACATCTAAGTCCTGTCGTGATCTTGCTGCCTCGAATTGGAGACATGGAGTTTGTGATTCAATGATGCCTTTCTGAAAGCAATGCAATATTTACTACGTGTAAATGCATGAGTTGATAATTTAGTAGCTCTAGTTCAACTTCATCCTAATTTGAATATACCCAATGGTGATTGATGCTGACTCTATTTTGTTGATGTTGCAAAATATTGTTTCATTATGTGCATTTGATCCAACTTATAGAAGACATTCTGGAGTTTTATGGGCGAAAATCTTAATGAATTCCTTTTATCGTGTTTGGGTTTTATGCCTTGTATTCACGCGTTCGACAGCGATAAATCCCTTTTCCCTCTTTTTTTCCGACCTTTTCGTTCAATCTTTTCATTATCTACTGCCAGATAGTGCAGTGTCCGAGTTACTTATAAAGACATGAATCTGGAAGGCAGTTCTGTTGTCTACAAGTAGAGGGGATGAGAGATCAGCATCATAGGTAATGCTGAAACCAAATTACGGAAGACTGAAAAAGCTTGCGTAGTCACATGATTATGGATTCAAAGTGAGGCTCTGATTCCATATGTTTTTGTTTATCTCCCATATGGCAACAGAAACAGTTGTTAAAGATTCCTTTCAGATTACCTCTTAAGTACTTGATTTTTTGCTCGTATCTTCATCATGATATTCCAAAAAATGCTTTGGGTCTATACGCTTCAGGTTGATGGCCTAATTTTATTATGTACTGTCAGACTCGTTACGCATTAGCAATATGGTGAGTTCGAGACTTACTATTTCAGGTGGAGGCAATATCACCGGCACCAGAGGAGGCGAGGCTGCTGGATACAGTGGAGGCGAAGTTGCAGCGTGAGCGCGAGGAGATGCAACGCCGCCTTCACGAAATTGAGGTGCGCATCAACAAGGAGGAGGGTCATCTGCGCTACCTCATGGACCGCGAGTCCAGTCTCACCGCTGATCTGAAGAATGAGACCACTGTTGCGCCTCCCACTCCCCATCGCGCCAAAGTTCTCTCCGTCAATGAGCTAGAGGATGAACGCGCCTACGAGAACCCTATTCAGGTGGACTGCCAGTATACCTCTTGAAATTTGAGTTGGACGCGATTGCATTTGTGCTGCAATGAGGCCTCCAATATTTTTGTATTTCGGACTTGTTACGGTGACTACCATTAGTAGCAAATATGTAGATTTCGGAAATTGTAATAGGATTGATTTGTTCATTAAGCTGAATAGTTTTTAAGTTGGCATCGGAAACGGATGCAGTTCTTTACTAATCCGAATTATAATTTAGATCAGATTTATATTGAGATATTATGAAGTGCCAAAGTCTAGAAGTGGTTTTTGCTACAAATGCACAGAAGAGCTGGGAGAATGCCATCACTGGATTGCGTAATCAGAGCTGCCAGTCACGAAAGAGGTAGTCGCATCATGTATGACAGTTATGTTTGCATAACTAGATGTACGAATTATCCCGATACAATTTGGTTGTTTGGTCTCTTGCTTTTCCTTCTTGGAGTCATTTTTGGCGCTCATAGTCGTCATTATTTTATTTTGATCATCGCAATATAGTCCTGAGTACATCATACATTTTTTTGCACCACTACAGGGGACCTTTCAAAGGTAAAGGTAATCCTGATTGCTGGCAGTTTTAGCATTGGTGTTATGAGCGTAACCCCATGTCAACAATGTGGTAATAGAATAAAAGTTTATTGAATTAGCGTCGGTAATGGTCATCTCGTTTGCAAAAAAAACAGATGGTAAACTCTATTGCTTCATCTCTCTGAAGTTGAAATCTTCCAGACGTAAACCTGTCGTGGCAACATGGCCCTAGTTACAGAATCGTGATTCGCAATATTCTACATCTGTAATGGCCTGGATTGTTCTCTATAGTGGTGACCGTGAGTTCTTATGCTGCGGAGATGATTGTTCTAATCGAACGTTTCTTTTTTACTTCAGGCTCTTCTCTCAGAGACACGTTCGCGCGCAAAGAGACAACACGAGAGCCTTGCGCGTCTTTGTGGACGATCAGTGAGTTCATGTCCCTGCGCTCTACCCGTCTACCGACAGCCCTCCGATCTGCCTGCACTTCAGCATGTCCAGTCAGTTTACAAAAACGGGTTTCGACGCCAACTTATTAAGTACATCCACCGACGCAAGCGGGCGGAGAGAGCGAGGCTCCGAATTCTTGCCAAGCACTATGCTCGTCATGCACAGGTGAGCAGGGTGGATCCATTTTAGAAAACAAGAAGTTAAGCGGTTAGAGACAACACCAATGGCTAGGATTTTTTTTCAACGTGCAATAAACATGTATTCGTAAATAAATTCTGTTTTTTCGAATAGCTATGCATTGATTTTGTCACAACACTTCTCTGCTTCACGCTTGATAGGCATTTTTCAAACGCCATGAAAAGTTGATGAACAGCGCTAAGCGGAAACAGAAAGACGCCAAAAATCGGGAGATATTCGATAAGGCCTTTCCCGAGATGAAGAAGATTCGCGAAGACCAGGGCCAGAAGGACGGAGGCAAGGGTGAAGACGGTCACGGTACGCTTACTGTTGTATCCATGTATCTCCTTTCTTTACGTTTTTTGCCTCTAGCATAAATAGTCGTAGTAATTTAGATTAAAACCTAAAATAAGATTCTCCCAGCAGAGTTGTGGGATGACAGCGTGCTAGTTAATATTGTAGGAATAGAAGTAAAAAAGTTGTGCGTAAAGTAGGTAGATTTACTGATTCTGATTTAGGCAACTAGTGTTACATAATTTTACACTAAATGACAACGAAACATTTGGGGTCATGAACCCTAGACATTACTGTGCTAGTCTTTTGGGATTAGTTCACAAGGCCAATAACCTCTCAACGCTTCTGCTTCGTTATTGAATCTCTTTTTTTGCTTTCGGCTATTCTACTCTTTATCTGTAAACCCATTTTAAGGTACTACACATACATGTTTGAGGGCGTTTTATTGCGAATGACTAAAGTAATCATCTAGTGCCTTGTTTCAAAGCATTAATGCTATGGAACGACTTGTAGCCGGACCAATTTTTGCTGCTTACCCGTGCTTTAAATTTTTTTTTACAAACAGATACTGGTTCCAACGCCGGTTCGAATGGAGCTGATGGCGATCAAGTGTGCGATCTTGTCGAAGACATTGCCAAAATGAAGGTAGTGTCCTATCACCTTCAGTCGTATGTATGGTTATTGTCATGGAAGGCGTGGTGGAGTTGATGTCACCGTCCCCCCTCTTCTAGGAGTATGCTATTGATCCACCCGTTACCCTGGCACCCTGGGAAAAGTCCTACCACTTCCTCTGCACCGCTCATCGTATCACTGATCCCAAATCAGAGCATCTGAAAGCACAGTCCTTGGAGAAATGGTCAAAAGAGGACAGGGCGCGTTTCAAGGAGCGCTTCTTGGCTACACCAAAGAACTTCACTACCATTGCGGCCAGTCTGGACAAGACAGTGGCGGAGTGTATTCACTACTACTATCTCAGCAAGAAGTCTGAGGGCTACAAGGCTTTGGTGAAGAAACACAGCACTTCGCGTCGAAGGCGGACTGGGCACTCGGACAAAAATGGACCTACAGGTCCCTCGCATGGAACTGCCTCAAAGAAAGCGCCTTCCAGGGTCTCTACGCCCGGCAATGATGATCATCGGAACTCTCCGTATCCTGATTCCAAGGTGATACCTTGTTCGTCTAGCTGACTGCTGTCAAATCGGCAATATTTATGATCCGTTATCTTAAAGAACGAGGATGGTCACACGGCAGGACACCGAAAAGGCAGTGGTGTTGGAGGTTCCACTCGGGGTAGGTCGGGTCGTCGCGGTGGAAGCGGTGATCATCGCTTCACGAAGGGATCCGGAAGGGGACGCTCAGGAACACCTGTACCGCCTTCGATCCCAGCTACATCCTCCAACGCCTTGGGCCAGTCCGACGGCGTTGTCATTGATACCAAACCACCGTCAACAGAGATTGATAGGCCTCAGGGCTCTGCCTCCGGTAAGTGCTTCAGATCTAGTCAGGAGTTAGCCACTCGCATTTATCTTTACTCTAACAATATCCCTTTCAGCTTTAAAAATCGAAGATACTAAAGATTATCCGCCGACTCTTGTGAAACCCTTGGATTTAGGTTTGACGAAAAATTCCAACGGACCATCGCACTCAAGCAAAGAAAAGGATGAGGTAAAGATTTTCGGGCAAACAAATTGTTCTTGCCTTTTCACCCTGTCAGAGTGCAACATGAACAATTTTCATCTTTTTCTTAGCCAAAGGAAGCATTTCAGGGTGGGTCAAAGCAAACCGACGAGTCCTCTTCTTCAGATGGACAGGTGCCATCAATGCCTTCTTTGGTGTACTTTCATGAACTAATGAAACGGAACGTTGATAAGGCCTATGCATTGGCAAGTTGATGGCTTATACCGATGCTCCTCCTTTAAAGCCATAATTTAAAATTTTTTTCAACAACAGGGAATAAATCCAACCATTCAGCGCGGTGCAGAGGCGATAGCAGCAGCAACGGGAGGAGTACCCACCGGTTCCGTGGACCTCTGTCAAGGCTACTCGTCGCCCCATCATCACCCTACCTCTGTCACAGACACTGTTACCTTTACTCACAACTCCCCGGCCTCTGGAACCTATTCGCCTCATTCACATCCCGAGGAGTCAGCTATGAATCGATCGACATTCTCTGATGTTGGTGGCATTGGGTCAAGCCTCTTGCCTCCAAAGGGTATGCAGAACTGGAGTTCTTTTATTTTGATAGTTGGGGCTCACGGCAAATAAAAATGGGGCAAATTTTCGGGAAAATATTCAAGCAAATATGTCGACTAATTTCACTTCAAATATCAATTGACACGCTTCTTAAGAATGTCACTTTAATCGTCCTATTACTTTTCAGCCATCTGTTAATAATTGTACTGATATAATTTGAAACACTGAAGCTGCCTGCCTCCTGTCTTTTAAATTCATCTCTGCTCGAGCGGTCTTTCCTAAAGGTGGCATTCCTTATACTACATTCCGTTATTTATTATGAAGGTTCTGATTCGTAGCCTTTCACTTCATATTCATCACAGCACTTCGGGACTCTATCGTCATTTTAATCTTGGAAAAGCATAAGACGTAGTGTTGAAACAAATAGTGCCCTACTTAAGAAGGATTATCCTAGAGACGTTTTTAGCTTCTCTGCTTGGTTTGAATTGGTCGAAATGCGCTTTAATTGTGGATGTGCAACCAATGGTAATGATATTGTAGATGCAGTTGCAGCCTCCTGTTTGGCGGCCACCTTACCCGAACAGCTAGTCAATTTGGCAAAAGGGGCAGTAGCTGCTGGTAGCATTTCCCCAGAACTGCTTGCCAGCATTCCTCAACTGTCTGCAGTGGTAGCTTCAGGTGCGGTCTACGGAACACCGTCCTCTTCCTCCGCTGCCTCCACTCAGGCCCTAGCACAGGTCCTCACCCAATCAATGACTTGTGGAGTGAGTTGAAAATGATGCAATTCATGTCGGGTATACGTGTGTTGTGCTTGAAATGCATATTTACTATAGGGAGGCTCACAATCACCAACACAGAAGCCATCCCATGATGCCTCCAACCAGTCGTCAGATCCAGCTGCAGCTGCCTACAGTAAAGCTATTCTCATTGGCGACTTTTGTACGGCTCAACAACTCTCCAGGGGGAGTACACCATCTCAACAAACCCAAATCCCCACTTCAGCCAACATGACTGGAACTGGTCTGCAACGCGCCGGTAGGAGCCGTAGACCTTTGTGGCCACATCCTGTTGTCCTTGTGTTCATTACCAACCCACTGTTTGCTTTTAGCTGACTACACCGACCCTGCCTACCTTAGCGGTCGAACCATCGATCCGTTGACCCTGCCGTTGCCTTCAAAGCGCCCTGGTCCCGGTGGATCCACTCCGGGTCCTTCTCGTTCCATGGGACATGGAAGTTCTCAAGGTCTTTTGCGATCCCCTCCAGCAGGCATGGCCTCCAGTTATCACCATCAACCTCCGCCACTTCCTCCGCCACTTTCTAGACACCATCAGATAGCTTCACATCCCTCGTCCAGTGAGTTGGTTCCTAAATTCCGAAAATGGAAGCTTTGGTCCAGTTATAGCACTTTTATTTGGCTCTAATTCCTTAAGGTTTTGATGCTGGAGTGTTGCGCCAAAGTTCAGGAAGGTCATTGAGTGCTCTTCAGGGCGGTGTCTACGGTCCCCAAGCCGGATACGGAGACACATCCGTCACCAAACCCTCCGGTTGTTATGATTTATCATCCATTAATCCCCCTAAGGTAAGTAAAACTGCACCATTTTTTCGTTTTTAACTGAGTCACTGTGTTCTGGAAATAAAGTGCATTCTCGTTGCAATTAACCACTTGCGTCATTCATATGTTCAGATTTATTGTTGACGAATACAGTGATCTAGTTTTCACTTCAGTTGAGTACTTGATAATAACTTCGTCATCATGCTTTTCAAAGTGACTGAAAATAAGGCTCATCAGGTGGTTTGGTCTTGTTATTTTACAGAAAACGGATGAATTTTGAGCGCATGTTAGTTCCGCTATTAAGTCCTTAGCTCTAGGATACTTTGCAACGCTCTGGTGCTATGCTGGGACCAAGCTAAGTCCTTGAATATTGGAGAGCAAAAAGGCTTGTTCTTTTGTTATCTTCAAGAAGAATAGCGTCCCGCCGATTAACCTGGAATCGGCAGTGAACTGTAGAGGGAGCGGAGACTTAGACCCCAAGGTGGAGGAGTATATCAACCACGCAGCGAAGCTCTACCAAGACGAGGTAGAGCGCTACACCTCCCGTGATCGTTCCGACTCTATGCGTACTCGTACGAGCAGCGAGACATCGCAACAAATGCACACGGCGCTGGATAATGCGCGCCAACGCGTTCTCGGCATGGCCACTGCCGCTGCCACCGCCGAAAATGCCAGTTCGACCACGGGCTACAACACCCCCTCTGTCTTTGCAGACTCCGTCTTCGCTGAACCGATGGGCGGAATGTTGGATATCAACGAGATGCTCGTAAGCTCCTTGGTCTTTTTAATTATTTTCCCGGTGGTGGCATTCAAGTAAAGTCAAAACTTCATATTTCCTCAATTGAGTAATGTCTCGATAATTCGACAGGGAGCATCTCTGGAATTTTTCTTACACTAATGATATAACCTTATAAAGTATCAATGTGGGAAAAACAGTTTCTTATTAATAAAACATCACTTGCTGCAGTAGTAGTTTATCTCAGCTTTTCAATATGAACATGGGGTATATCCTGGATAGGTAAGTGGGTTAAGTGAAGAATTTTTCAAGCTCTTGCGTTAAAAATCCAGAGTCTCTAACCCAACTATTGTGCCTGAAAATTAGCTCTTTGATCCTAATTTTCACCTTTTTGCAATAGACTAAATACATCATTACGAGTTGGATGGATTATGACATTTTTTTACGAGATTGAGTGAAAGCCTAGTAGTAACAGGTTTGTGAAAAAGACCCTGATAGGAGTTGTACCTGAGCCTCGAATATACCTGCTACTGGCAATAATGAGTCCACTGTTTTCTAGACAAAGCTCAACAGTTGATGAAGTGCTGATGAAAGCAGGCAGGTTAATTATTTTCACAAAATCGGGAAAATGGGCTTAATGGAAGCCTAATTCCTTCTATCCACCTCGCGCTAGCATTCATGATAGTTCACAGTCCCAGCCTCCCCCATTTTGAAAAAAATGCCAGCTTTATTTAGGATAAGCTACTCAGGTTAGGCGACGACTGTTTTCAGTCACATCTGTATGGTTTCTTCTTTTATAGGCCAAATACGGTCCGCAATATCTTTCGCTAATTGCAGCGGCAGCTGCAGAGGCGACTTCTTCCTCCTCAACGATGGTCACATCAACATCAGCGGTGACTGTCGAAGGCATCCCCTTGTTTACTCCCCGTACGTCCAAACCTTCTCCAATGGATAGAAGTGCCCAGCTTCAGCCATTGCCACTGCCAACATCCTCAGCATCAGCGTCGCAGTTTGCCCCTGCGCCACTGCACAACATTCCCCAGCCGATGCCGCTGCCACGCTATCGCAAGTCCGCTAGTAGCACCATCAGTAACGCCACCGCCACCGCGGCCTCCTCTGGACACCCTCCCTCATTTTCGTTCAGTTCACCTGCGCTCTCCTCACAACGCGATTTCTTCCCTACTCTCGGTGAGGATAATGCCCCTGCCGGTGGTTTTCATCCACACCACCAACAGCATCATCGATACCCGACCCTGATGCGAGCTAGTGCCTCTAGAAATGTAAGCTTGCAAACAGGAGTCTTTTGCGAAAGTATTTTACCCCTCTTATCGTTGCTCTGGCTTATAAAAGAATTTGGAGATTTGATTTAGCTTACGATGTTCTTTTGATACATTTTCCATATGAAAGGAAACTTCCTGGAACCGGCTCATAACTGGATCCCTGTTTGTTACAATTAGAATCCATGTGGCAGGATTTATTTAAATGAGTCCTGCCTGTGTTCCATTCATTGAATTTCCAACTTTACTACGAATCTAGCTGGAATCTGTTGGCTTGTTACCGGAAGAGTTGGCAAAAAAAGCGTTGACTGGAGGTTTGCGGTCTCATCAACAGCTCCCACTAGCAACATCGCAGTCGCATTCGACGACCTCACAGATACCGGCACCGACATCAATGTCAAACAACCCCTCCTTGGTCAGCTCTTCTTCCGCCACCTCCTCATCCATATCTGCTGCTCCTAATTCGACCACTATCAGTTCCTTCCGGTCCTCCGACGTTTCTAACGCCAGTGTCGCGCTCTCCACCTCATCTATCACATCTATCGCTCCGGTGAATACATCTGCCTCCTGCACTGGAACTCTTGGCGATCAAATCGAAAAAGTAAGCACCTATCTATCTTCAACATATTTCTACAAATAGGAAAGTAAAAACTCTTTTCCAAATTTAGGCAATCACAGACGGCATAATCGTGCAACAAAGTGGTCAGGATATACCGAGGATTAACCCTTCAACGGCTGAAGCCAAGAGCGTCAAGTCCATTCATCCTACATCTAGTCTTCTGAAGACTGACTCCGAGAATCAGGGTAAGATACCCGTCTACCGTAATTCCCTTCTGTAATCCAAATTCTTTCAATTATATGTGAAACCGATCCGTCATCCAACGACCTGTTCCCTTCTATCGTTCACTCTTCCATGCCACACTACTCTTTCTTGCGCCGTAAAACGAATAGGTTTTTGTGATTCTGTAGACTTATCACCACTACTCGCACCAGCTGCACGCTCTTCGTCGGCGAGTCTGCTGACAAGCCCCTCGCACATTTCCGCATCTCTGTCAGCATTCCCGAAGAAACGAAATCGCCTGACTAGTAGTGGTAGTGTTGGTATGGGTGTTGCTCGCCCCACCTCACCTCCCCGGTCGCGTGAAGCGGAGGTATTGACGCCTCAGGCATCGTCGACCGTCACCACTCCACCGAACGCCTCGCCTGCGTCTACGGAGGGAAGACTATCGGTTTCCAAGTCTCCTGCTGTTACCTTCACTGTCTCCACTACTGCGAATGTTTCTGCGGCCTCCGGCATCTTGGCGATTTCACCTCCTAGCTCTGCAGAATCGCCCGGCAATTTGCAAATTTGTATACCCGTGAGTGGAGTGGGTGTGCCCGCGTTTGGGTGTAAATTTTTGACTATATTTTACTCATGCAGCCGGAAGATGAGCAGTCCCAGTATTCGCCGACCACACCGGTCGAGGTTGTTTCGGGGAGACCGACCAGCCTCTCACGGCAGACGCCAAATTCAAAATCGTCAAGCATGGGTGCTGTGGCTACTGCGAGTCCTCACACAGCCTCAATCAGTGAGTCTACGAGTCCAAAACGCAATCCCCCATCACCACCATCGTCGTCATCATCATCGCCGCGACAGCAGCTACCACAGTCTCCATAGTCCCCTCTCCCTCGTCCCTCTCGAATATAATCACTTGCATGTGTGCTTGTGGTCACCTTTGATTACATCATGCTTTTTTTTCGACCGTCTAGCTCCCCATATACCGGCCTGCCAACAAATGAACGGACTCATGTCCATATTACTAACTTTTTCAATGAGGTGTGCAACTTTGCGGCGATACAGCGCATGCTTATCCGCTTTTTCATAAATGCTAAAAATAAAGAGTTGGTCAGGTGAACACGGGTCTTATTTTTGGGAAGTGGATAAAGCTGCATTTGTAATTCCTGCTGAGGCCATGAGTGGCGATCTACCTTTTGAGCATTAATTGACCGAAGATGCTCCACTAGAACTGAAGTGCTTAAGCTGTTGACAAGAGGTATAGGTGGGGAGGAGTTTATCGGACATACTTGTGCTAGGGGGAACCAGTCTGAGCTCGAATGATGCTTGTTGGTGCCAACGTCACCTAAAGAAGGCGGGATGCACTTCTGCCCACCACAGATATTCGATCGAGTCTAGAATGGATCGAGTCGATTTTAAGTGTCTTGGAATTCTACCAAATACGCAATTTAAAGGATGTTTCACGAACACTAAGCAGCAATCCGAGGTAATGATGAGAGTATCTTGACGTGATGCAAATTAAATGCACTTTTCATAATTAACTAAAATGAATGAAAAGTCGATAGTGCCACTGTAGCATCCCGACACTTCCCCGAAGACGAGAGAAGTAATTGTGCTTGGTCAGAATACGCATTGTCAACGTGGAGAAGGGCTGAGGGCTACTGACATAGACAGGAAACCACGTCATCCAGCGTAAGTACAATAACAGAACCTTAAGCGCTCGTGAAAAATGACGATGATATAAATAAATGATCAGTGTATTACACCATAATTATTAAAACGATGTGGATGTGTAAGGATTGGCAATCACATCGAATTAGGCATGCACACGAAGCAGGTTTTAAGGACTGTTACGCGTACACCTAAAAAATCGCTAAATATGGTGACATAAAATCTAGTAGACTCAACTCGTTGATTACTATTTTCCTTTCCTGCCTTCCCTTATTTTGGGTTATTTTAATCAGGAGATCATTTTAAAGCTAAAGCGAATTCTTTTCGTAAATTAAATTTCATTCCTAAACGTATTATAAGCATATTTAAAAACCCAGAGATGAACATCTTCTTTGATTCACTTGGGCTATTGTATGATAAGCTACCGCCTTATTTAAGCACGTTTGGCTAGGACCCATCTGAAGAGTATGTCTAGGCGGAAGGTTAGGAAAGACAGTAACGAACACAAAGGAAACGATTTCGATCCATTTCAGCTTACTGTTGACGCTGACCAACTAAAGTTTGATGATGCTTCTCTGGAGAAGGAACTGATTTCTATACTTGGAAGTGACGAGGTTGATGAAGAACCTATAGTTGAAATGCCATCGTCTTCCCATTCAAAGGTGGTTTTTGTTGTCTGTCTGACTCCTAATGGTTAACCATGCTTTCCTCGGTGTTTTTATTGATTGTTCTTTGCTAATTCCCTTCTCATGCTTTTTTCTACTTAGCTCGCGTAGTTCTCTGTCATCTTTACTTCTCTAACACATCTAACCCATTCGTTGGTCTCTAACACTAGATAAAAGCTGATTCCCTTCCCTCTTGTGAAGAATTTGAGTTACTGCAGCAGCTGGAAACGACTCTGGAAACCAGTGATGATAATGGTGACGCCAAACCACCACCAATTGACACATCTTCGTCTCCTAATGAAGGTTCAGTTACTCACAAAAATGAAACGCTGTCGATTATCTTGGAACGCCAGGCAGCTTTTGAGAATATCATTGATTCGATGAAATCCTCTAGTACTCTCATAGATATAGATAGGGCTTGTTTACATCGATATGAGCAATTACTGGCCTTCGTGAAGACCATGGCAGAGAAAGCCGAACGTAATGGTCCTGTTGACTTGCGGGACCTCCCTTCTGTCCCATCATCACCTTCATCATTTAATTCAGGACCGATGGTTAGTTACCCACACACGACTTTGATGGTCGCTTACTTCTTTAGCCTCCTCATATCACTTTGGCTCGCCTGGGTCTTTCATGGTAACTTTATTTGTTGTCGTGTTTCAGACTACGTCACGACGAAAAACAGCGGAAAATATTGTTTTAGATTACGTTACAGGCGAGACTCCGAAATCGAGATCTACCTCCTCGTCGGATTCAAAAGAAGCGGCTTTCGTTAGGGAACTAAAAGCACGCCTTACTGAATACCGAGTGAGTTGCTCTCGATGGCAAAGGTAATAAAAGGGATTAGATTGCTTCCAATTCTTCTTCATTTCAGAACGCAGCAGTATTAGCTCACAAGGAGGGCAAGAAGCCACGTGAGGCGGAATTAATGGTGGCAATTAATGCATTGGCTGAGGCGATCCCCCGAATCGAATCGGGTGTGGAGCAGTTCGATCCAGCCGATATGCCTCCACCTCCTGAGCAGTTTCACCTTCCTCCTGAGGCGCTGGCGGAGGTCACTGAAGGCATCCAGCAGGGTTCTTCAGCTGCTCAGTCATCTGCATCGCCACCCTTAGGAAAGGGGCAACCTCTCGACCCTACTGTCGCTGCTATCACCAAAGTGGCTTCTTCTACTGTAGCCAGTAGGGAATCTCTTACGGCTAGAATACAAATCCTTAAGGTGAGCTAGTTTGTGCATCGAAATATGCTTACGTTGAAGTTGCTTAAGTCATAAGTCTTTAAATTAGCACGTCATTCCAGTTCTATTTTGTACCATGGGAATTGTGATTACGTTTAATGGCATTCACTAGGCCCGTAGGTAGGCGCTTATTGCTGCTATGGATCGATATGCAGTACAGTATCTGTCATTCTCTACCTTGAAGCCACTGTTTTACTGCATTAAGGAATTCGTATTTGCTTCAAGTGATTTCATAGTCCAAATTGCTCTCTGCTTGGTTTCATGACAAATAATGGTGTCATGTGACGCAGTTGGAGCGTTTGACGTTGCGAATACCGAAACACAATGCAGTTGCAGTCCAGAGTATTGGTTTTAAAACGGTCGATTTCATAGGTCTAAAGTTCTGCCATATGCAGCGACGTAAAGTTGTTCGTGCGAGATCTCTACAAATAGGAACATATTTAATTGCAAATGTAGAAAAACTTCAGAGCTTACTTCGCAGTGTATTTTCGTAATCGGACTGTAATTACTTAGTGGTCTGCTAATCGAATCGCAATGAGCGATAGGGTCCTCTGGTTATCAAAGAGACAAAGATGATTTCACTTATGCGTCTCCCACTTCAGGTGGTGTTACTTTCAGCTAATTTAGTGTGTTAGGTCACCATTAACTGTCAAATGCACATCACATGATTTTGTATCACATTTTCTACGTGTTAGTTTGGCCGTCTAGTAAAAACTATTCAGATTATGAACCACATCGCGAAGTGGCATTACGGCCTCTTTCGTCCCCTAGGCAATGATCCAAAAAGCCGACGCCTCAGATAAGCGCCTTTACGAACGGACTCTCCAATCCTACAACAAAGCTCTGCGTGCCTTTGAGGCGGGTATTAAATTCAACTACGGTGGGCTCAATCCCCTACCGTCTTGTCCGCAGTTCACCTCCGCCGCACCACCACCACAACCTTCCACCGCTCCCACCACCTCGCCCGCAGCCGGTCCCGCGTCATCGAGCGAGTCGCGAAAGCTAGAGTTATTACGTAAGCGCCAAACAGAGTTACGTGTAGCGGCGGCCCAAGCCAAGGCGCGCGGGGACATGGGTGCGGCGCGGGAGTATCTACGCTCCTCGCTGAGCATGAACAACATGATTCGCTCTGTGAATGCGGGTCTTCCGATCGATTTAAAGCAGCTCCCGCCTCCTCCTGGAGCGTCTATCGCCCCGACGGGCAGTTCACAGACACAACCCATCTTATCGGGTGTGGCTTGCGCTCCTCCGGTCGAGTTTCAAACGGCTCTGGTGACTGCTGGAAATGGTGCGTGTGAGCGTGCTTATCTCACTACCTATTTGAATAAGTTCTAACCTTAGAAGTTGGTCTGGTTGATTGGTATCAAATGTGGTGAAAGTATGACTGCGTCTACTCTCGACAAGCGTAACTGTAAGGCTCCTCTTTTACTTCATATCGAATCTTTTACTGTTTCATCCCTCCGATGTATTTAGAATCCTGCTTCGAAAAACATTACTTTGTTTTATAGTCTCGGCTGCAATAGGTTGGATACTACTAAAAATTATTCCAATACTTGTCCGAATTCTTTTATTTTTTACTGGTTTCTGGGAGTCCTTGTCAACATATCATGGTAAAAATAGGTGGTTCATTACGAATTATGCTACGAGATGCAAAATAGTAGCAAACAGCTACTCTTTTTGAATTTTTATATCTTTAGACCCTGTAGCTATCTGTGATCAGTTAATAAATCAGTTAGAAGCCCAAGCAACCGAAGCGGAGATTTTGTCAAAAGATCACCGTGAAGCAGGCTTATCAAATCTTGCTGACAAGTTCTTTGATTTGGCTGACGTCTCGCGCAAGTGGATTGCTCTCACCACCGCCTACAAGCGCGGTTCACGGGTTCCCAAGTACGTCTTTGAGAAGGCCAATCTTTCTCGTCTCAACATGAATACTGACCTTGGTGATGGAGTGCTGGAGGTCACAGTGGTCAGAGGCATCTCCCTCCCCGTGCCTCCGGACCTCAGCGGTCCCTCGGCACTGGACACTTACGTTACCCTTGAACTACCTTTTCCGTCTTCCGAGACCCCGCAAAAGCACTCCACAGAGTGGGCGCGCCACACGAACGAACCGACCGATTATGGTGGCTATCAGGCCTCTGCACGGTTTGAGGTGAATAGGAAGGCTAGGTCCTATGAGCGTCTGTTGCAGGGCATCAAGTCGCTCAAAGCCACAGTGAGTCGAATGAGATTGAAGCAAAGCGTGTTTATTTTTTTGATCGGTTTACACGCTTAACGATTTTCGGCTCAGGTTTACTACAACCGTGGACTGTTAAAGCGACCGGCGGTATTGGGCACGGTGACGGCGAAATTGACTGAACTGATGGCCAATGCCACACATACCGCCTGCTATGATCTGATGGATGGAAGAAAAGCTGCAGGAGGCCTTCTTGAATTGCGTTTTAGGCATCGAACACCGCTTCATGTATGTAAACGTCACTAGTAGACACCACATTCGTGTATTCGCCTGTCGATTCAACCAAACCATTAATCGTCGCTGCATTGTGAATGCAAAAGGGCATTTAAAATGCTTATTATTCATTTCAGGGTGCAAAATTCAGCGCCTATCAGAAGCCTTGGCTGTGTATTTCTACGTCTAAGACCAGACCGATGCCGAATATCAAGAAATGACCAACAAACTCGGTAAAGATCACAAGTACAACTTTGTTAAAGACAATTTTCTCCTCATATGATTTTGCAAATAAAATTTTAAGTAAAGAAAATGCCTGAACTAGTGATTACAAATTTCCTATGATTAACATAAGGGGTAATGTAGAGCAGTGATGATATTTTGGTAAAAAAAAACAAAACAAATTATAGCATAAAAATTACAAAAAAATAGAAGGAAAAGATGGATAGGGAAATAGGGGAGTGAGGAAAGTAAAGCGCTTCAAAAAGGAAGGAGAGGAAAGTGAAAGAGAAGAAAGTGGAAAACAAAGAAAGAAGCGCAAGAAAGAAGAACTAGGAAAACGGACACGGGAAAGAAAAAAATGAAATAAAGTCCACAAGTGAGAAAAAAAGAACGGCTTGCAGGGGAGAACCCAGATGGTAAGATGTAAGTAAAAAGTTTGGAGATCAAAGAAGAAAATCAACGGGGTGGTTAAATAAAGAGACGGCCTTCGCAGCGCAATGAAACAAAGCCCAATAAC